GTCCCAACTCTAGTTTCGGTGTTGCATACTCGGGGTACGTGAGTAGCGGTACGCGGCCCTGGGTTTACGACGTCACCGGGGCATATGCCTGAACGATGTTTTGTCCTCCCACGGCGGCAGGTCAAGGCTCGGTGTGTTGTTTATTTTTCGATTCCGCGTTTTTGCGCTGATCGCCGTCTGTGATGTTGTCGTTTTTGTGTTTGTATGTCAATGTTGTTGTTGCGGTGAAGCGTTCGATGGGACCGTCTGGTTCCTGTCCTGTTTTTGTTTGTTCCATTTCCTTTCTTTTCTTTCTTTCTTCGTCCGCCCCTTTTTTTGCCGTGTTGGGGTCATATCCAGATCCTTTCTTTTTTTGGTGCGGGTCAGTCTATCATCAAGTCGCACTTGTATGTTGTTTTTTCGGGGGATTTTTTTGCGTCCATCTGTGCTAGTCGACCTGTGTGCTCTGCGAAGAAAACCGTGTGAGCCGCGTCTCGAGTTTGTTGAGCGGGCCTGCGGTGTGCGAACTAAACGATGCCTACAGATTTTGACGGCCCCATGATGACTGACATCCCGCACGGCAGCATCGTGCAGCAGGTTATCTCTACCAAAGAGTACGGCTGTATGTATGTATGTACTTCACAAAATCTACAGCAACAAGTGCTTGCAGCAGCAGCACCACACGAGCAACACCAGCAGCAGCACCACCACCACACGCGGATAGACACACACAGAGAGAGAGACAAGCACTCCCTAAGTGCGGGGCGTTGTTGTTGTTTGTTGCTGTTTCTCACATTTGCTCTATAGTCCACAAAAATGGGGAGCCCGTGGTCTCAAAACCCGGCACATACGACGCTGCGGGGAAACAAAACAACAATAGGGTAGACTACAAACCACTCGGAAAAAGAAAACAAAATGATACTGAAAAGAACAGGTACCGCACCGACCGTTCGAGGAAAGAGCCCTCGGAAACCGATCAAAATATAACAAAAATAAAGGAGGACGCTTCCCACACCCGCCCAAAGAAAAAATCAAAGGGTAACGTACCAGCATCAGGCACTACGCACCAGGGCATGGGAGTAACGGAGCAAACAGGACAAAGGGGCGGCAGATGGGCAAACAGCCAGACGTACAAAAGCAAAGGCAACAGCAAAGCGAGATGAAGGTACCCAACACAGCAGAGTAGGCAGGGAGGTCATGAAAAAAAGAAGCACAGCACAGAGGCCGAAGGCAATACAAAGGACATACATAAAGGAGTGTGGCATACAGCAGGGAGGGAAACATGGCGCAACAACATCAGCCGGGTACATATGGTCCGTTTCCGGAAAAAAATCACAATATTTTCCCTGCACAAAGGTGCACTTTTCTCGGGTTGGGGGTACTTATTCCGAAATCTGAAAATACCGCGTAAATCGACTTTTCAAGGCGCATCTTCGTATGGAGTTTTTTTTTGTTTCGTCCTTCGCTCGATATGTTGAGATATTCAAGAAATCTTGCTTACTTTTTGGAGGGCGGTGATTTTTGCAGACACAAAATCTGAGACCGGATTTGGACAGCTCTCGTGATTAGCCACCGGTGTTTTTTTTCCTATTTCCAATTTGACAAAAAATTATGGGAAAAAAAACGGACATTGGAGGGTATTTTGCTTAGTTTCTTGGGGACAATCCAACCGTACGATTCAAAAATAAAGTGCTGCAATCGATTCCTCTCGTGATTTCCCACCGATGATTTTTTTCCGATTTCAATAAAAAACTCGGGCTTCGGAGATATTTCGGGTAGTTTCACACGCCCTCGGGGAATTTTTTCCCGCCACACACACACCAGAGGACACACACACACACAACCTTGACGTCTTTTAATTGGTCAGCCAGTTAGCGCGGTCGATGCTAATAATAAAACACACACACCCTTTACGCACGCAACGAAAGACGCACACGCGCTCCGGGCACATGGGTCGCCCAAAGGGTAAGCGCAAGCTGCCAAGGAACGCCGACGGCACGATTCGGAAGGCCCCTTCGCCCCCTGCGGACCCTGCTGTAG